GCCTACCGGTTTATTTTTGTACCTTCTGGTTATGTACCTAGGCTGTAGAGCAGTAGTCTCCAAAATGCAGCCATTTTGCCTGCCTTTATCCTGCCCCTGGGGCACTTTTCCTTCCCCTGATACGAGGCACAAATCCTCCAAATTACACAAATGATAAAGCACCATTCTTTCCACTGACCGCAACAGTGGGGCATAATTTCCTCCACTGACTTCAACTATGGGGCACTATTCCTTCCACTGACATCAACGATGGGACAGTATTCTTTCCATTGACACCATCAATGGGGTACTATTTCTCCTGCTAATACCATGGATAGAATACTATTCCTTCCACTAATACCACTGATTGGACATTATTCTACCCCCTACTGACTGCAGGTCGTATGAAATTTTTATACTCCCATGGACAGCCAAGCCTGAGGCATTGTTTACTCTCACTGACACTGGGGCATTTTCTACTCCCACTGGCCAAAATACCCAAAGTCTTAATGACAATAAACTGGTCCTTTTTTATTAACAAAGTTTTGATACCCCAGCTCTAAAGAACCTCTACTTTCAGTATACCAAAGGTGCTTGGTCTAAATCAGAGGTTTCTAAACAAGGGGCCAGTTTACTGTCCTTCAGACTTTGCGAGGGCTGGACTGCAGCCAGTGTGAGTACAAAAGGTCCCGATGTTAGTGGGAAAAAAAATAGTGCCCCATTGTTTGGTGTCACTGGAAGGAATTGTGCCCCATCATTGGTGTCATTTGAAGGAGTTGTGCCCCCTTCATTTGTGTAAGTGGGGGGAATTATACCCAATTGTTGGTATCAGTAGATGAAATAATGCCCCAAGGGCCAGATAAAAGCAAGCAAAGGGCCGCAGTTTGGAGACCACTGGTGAGTGAACACCATTTTAAATACAAACAAAGCTACATTATGGGAAGGTAATTTTGTTTCTTAATCTGGTTGCTTTTAGACTGTCACTCATGATGGTCTGGTTTCCATGGAAAGCTGTTTCCTAAAAGCTGCTTGTGCTAGAGAGGGAAATTCCTCTTCCTTTTTTTACTTTTTTTTAAAAAGGTTTATTGTTTTTTTCAACATAAAATGATAGAGTACCAGCAATGGAAGAAGATATGGGGTGGGGTGGGGTGGGGGAGCTAGTCCAGATAGACATTGAACATATCTGTAGCATATTATATCATTGTGGGGCAGCACAGTGACTAAATGGTTAGCTCTTCCGCCTGGCAGTACTAGGGTCCTTGATTTGAATCCCAACCATGACACCATGGACGTTCTCCCTGTCCCTGCATGGGTTTTCTCTGTGTACTCCAGTTTCCTCCCACACTCCAAAGACATGTTGGCAGGTTAAATGTCTAAATTGGCCCTAGTATGTGTATGTAGGAATGTGAATTAGGGACTTTAGATTGTACGCCCCTTGAGGGTTAGGGACTGAGGTGAATGTACGAATATATACCGGCGTATAAGACGACTTTTTACCCCTTGAAAATCTTCTCAAAAGTCGGGGGTCGTCTTATACGCCGGTATACGGCATACTGACACTTTTTAGGGGGGCGGCACGGTGCCGCCGCCGCCCCCCCCTTCCAACGGAAGGGACACGAAGTACAGGGGTGGGCAGGGGCTGTTTCTTACCTGGCTCCGGTCCCACGACGATCCGGTCCAGGAAGTGCGGCTGCTCCTACAGTTCGGCCACTGGATGTTCGCGTGGCTGCTCGGCTCCGCCTCCTCACCGGTGATTGACCGCCAGAACTGTAGCTCAGGAAAGGCACACAAACGGCCAATCACCGGCGAGGGGGCAGAGCCGAGCGGCCCCGTGAAAATCGAGTGCAGGAGCAGCAGGTAAGTGTTCAGTGTAGAGGTGCTGCTGCAACCACATATGCTGGCTGCAGCAGCACCATACTAGAACAGGGTCAGCAAGTGTAATTGGTGTCAGTGGGAGGAATAGTGCCCCATCACTGATACCAATGATGGAGCACTATTCCTCCCACTGACACCAACGATGGGGCACTATCCCCCCCCCCCCCCACTGACACCAACGATGGGGCACTATCCCCCCCCCACTGACACCAATGATGGGGCACTGTTCCCCCCCCCCCCCCCCCTCTGACACCAATGATGGGGCACTATCTCTCCCCCCCCCCCCCCCCCCCCCTGACACCAATGATGTGGCACTATTCCACCCCCCACTGACACCAATGATGGAGCACTATTCCACCCCCCACTGACACCAATGTTGGAGCACTATTCCACCCCCCACTGACACCAATAATGGGGCACTATTCCACCCCCCACTGACACCAATGATGGGACACCATTCCTCTCACTGACACCAATGTTGGGACACTATTCCTCCCACTGACACCAATGATGGGGCACTATTCCCCCCCACTGATACTAAGATGGGGCGCTATTCCTGCCACTGATACCAATGATGGGGCGCTATTCCTGCCACTGATACCAATGATGGGGCACTATTCCTGCCACTGATACCAATGATGGGGCACTATTCCTCCCACTGATACCAATGATGGGGCGCTATTCCTGCCACTGATACCAATGATGGGGCACTATTCCTGCCACTGATACCAATGATGGGGCACCTATTCCCCCCACTGATACTATTGATGGGGCACTATTCCTGCCACTGATACCAATGATGGGGCACTATTCCCCCCACTGATACTAATGATGGGGCACTATTCCCCCCACTGATACGAATGATGGGGCACTATTCCTGCCACTAATACCAATGATGGGGCACTATTCCTCCCACTGGTGTGCATTGGAAGAGGAGTAGTCTTATACGGCGAGTATAGCCCAAACACTACATTTTAGCAGGAAAAGTAGGGGGTCGTCTTATACGCCCAGTCGTCTTATACGCCGGCAAATACGGTATGTAAAGCGCTGCGTAAAATTGACAGCGCTATATAAGTACCTGTAATAAAAAAATAACTTGTACCACATATTGTATTGGCATATGATAGAGTAAAATAGAAGAGACCATGGCCAAACATCCATTCCTTTTACCCCTATATGGTAAGCTTCTCAAAATGGAGAAGTAATGGAGGGTAGGGGACCCCTTCCTTTAACTAGTTTGTCACAAGATCTAGTGCCAAGTATAGTCTTTATTTCCACACTTTTTCCAGAAGATACAAACAATAGTAGCTATATAAATAGCAAAGCTAGAGTTTGAGAACAGTTCCAGGAGGGAAGTGCAGTTTTAGCAAACATCTTGTGTTACATTGGCCTTCAGAGCACCATTTATATCCAAATGCTTAGGCAGCTGTGTCATAGTTCTCCTTTCATAGTTCTGCAGATGGGATCATATTGTACCCTCTACACTTAAAAAGGTTTAGAGAGGAACCCTGCTTGTCTTTACATGTAATATTACTTGTGCTTTATACGTATGCATAGGTGGGTTTTCCTACACCTTCACAGCATTAAAATGGATCTCCAGCCACAGTGGGAAAGGGTTAGAATCTTTGCTGGGTGGTCATTGTCCTCTTTGAGAATTTCCTCACATTCTGTCCTGAGGACCATAGAGAGAGTTGCAGTGGTTGTAAAGGTAGAAGGTTTTCTTCACCTTACTGCATTCTATGCAACAAGGTAAAAAACCTTCTGCATGCAGCTTCTGCCACAACCCACCCTAAATACATACCTGAGCCTTGTCTCCGCTCTCTCTTCCCTCATTGATTTAGATGCAGCAGCAGAAGCCATTGGCTCTCGCTGCTGTCAATCAGAGGCAGTAACAAGGGGTGAGGCCAAGCCCTATTTTGTATGGACACGAGCAGGGCTCGGGTGCAAGCACCCATGAGTGCCCTCGGAGCAAACGACTTGCTCTGGGGGCGCTTGGTGGGGGGGGGGGGGCCCAGAGCGCCAGAGAGGGACCCCAGAAGAGGAGGACCTGGGCTGCTCTGCAAAAACCATTGCACAGAGCAGGTAAGTATGACGAGTGTTATTTTAACCACTTGCCAACTCTATAGCTGAATGACTGCTACAGCGTGGTTGTCCAGTTCTGGGAGGACATCATATGACGCCTTCCCGCGTGCATCCAGAGGTCTCCTTGATCACTGTGTCCTACGGACACACAGCTGATCACTTGATGAGGTAAAAGGCCAATTACAGCGGCCTTTTACCACATGATCAGCTGTGTCCAATGACACAGCAGATCACAATGTAAATAAAATTTTTGGTTATCGGCACCACTTTCCTCATGCTGTCGCAGCGTGAGAAAAGTACTGCTGATAACCAGCAAATGACACAGAGAACATCTGCACTGATCATCAGGGCACTGATAATCCGTGCCCATCAGTGCTACCCAGCAGTGCCGCCAGTCAGTTCTTTCAATCAGTGCCGCCAGTCAACGCTGCTTATCAGTTCTCATCATTGCTGCATATCGGTGCAGCATCATCCGTGTCTCATCAATGACCACCAGTGCCACCTATTAGTGCCCATCAGTTCTGCCTATCCGTGCCACCTCATCAATGCAGCCTCATCAACGCACATCAGTAAAGAAGAAAAAGTACCTGTTTGCAAAAGTTTATAATAGAAGCAAAGAAAAACTTTTTTTTTTTTCTTGTTTAACCAGAAGCCTACAGGGCACTTATACCCCCTTCCTGCCTAGGCCAATTTCCAGCTTTCAGCGCTGTCGCACTTTGACAATTGCGCGGTCATGCAACACTGTACCCATATGAAATTTTTGTCATTTTTTTGTGACAGAGCTTTATTTTGGTGGTATTTAAACACCTCTGGGTTTTTTATTTTTTCTTAAACCAAAAACCACTGAAAATTTTGAAAAGAAAATGTTCTTTCTTAGTTTTTGTTGTAAAATTTTGTAAATAAGTGATTTTTCTCCTTCACTGATGTGCGCTAATGAGGCTGTAGTGATGGGCACTGATAGGCTGCACTGATGGACACTGATAGGTGGCACTGATGGGCATTGACAGGCAGCACTGTTAGGCGGGCACTGACTGGCACTGGCGGCACTGACTTAGGCGGCGGCACACTGACTGACTGCACTGTTAGGCGGCACTGACTGGCAGCACTGATGGGGTGACGCTGAAAGGCAGCGATATGTGGCATTGATGTGCACTGGTAGGCACTTATGTGGCATTGATGGGCACTGGCACGAGGCACTGATGAGCACTGACACAAGGCACTGATGAGCACTGACACAAGGCACTGATGGACACTGACAGGTGGCACTGATGGACACTGACAGGTGGCACTGCTGGGGCCACACTGATCATCAGGGCACACTGATCATCAGTGCCCTGATGATCAGTTTACATGTCCCCTCCGTGGAAAGCCGATTACCAGCTCTCCTCTCCTCAAGAGCTGTCAGCGTGACAGCTCGAGAGGAGAGAAATGCCGAAAACTGCATTTCCCTGTTTACATGTGATCAGCTGTGATTGGACACAGCTGATCACATGACCAAGCCGACATCTTCGGCTCTTTCCGTGATCGGTGATCCGCTGTGCCGAGGGACACAGCGCACCGCCGATCACCGCGCTGCGCGCTCCCTGAGCCGCGCATGCGTGGTGAGAATGGGAGGGCGCCATATGACGTCCTCCCAGAACGAGAGAACCACCTTTGCGTCTTTCATATTACTATATGGCCGGCGGGAGGTGGTTAAAATGTTTTGCTCTTTTTTGTTTATAGTGCAAAAAATAAAAGACCCAGTAGTGATACCACCAAAAGAAAGATCTACGTGTTTGAAAAAAAAAAAAAAATTCATATGGATACAATGTTTCATGACCAAGCAATTGTAATTCAAAGTGCTACAGCACTGAAAGCTGAAAGGGGGTAAAAGTGCCTGGTAGTCAAGTGGTTAAGAAAAAAAACTTGAACCTTAGCCCTCATGCACACGGGATGTTTTAATTTGTGGTTTGTTACTTTTTACCGCATTTTTCAGCATTAGAGTTTTTTTACAGCTAAAAAAACTCTAGAAACCCACTAGTCCTGGGTTTTTTTTCCAGCCAAAAAACGTTGATTACAGTCTATGTGTGCATATACACAAAGGATAACATGCTGGGGGGTTTACTGGCTGTAGAAAAAAACGTCAAAAGCCAGAAACAGCAACTGTAAAAACGTCAAGTGTGCATGAGGACCTAATAGAAAGCTCTTAATGGGGCCACAACAACAGTAAAAAACCTTTTTCTATCTGTTCACAGCAATATCCAAACCATAAAAAGGCTGGAGTTCCACACAATAAAATCTTAAAGGGAGTCATTGCAAATAGACCAGGATGGTACTTGGTACAGATATCCATAGCAATGTTCATTTTAATCAATAATTTTTATTTTTGGAGGTAATCAATACATCTATGCTGTGAGTCAGTCAAGACTCTCTCTCTACACTTTGGGGTGTAGTTAGGCCAGACTAGGACCTTCTGATTCCCCTTTGGACAAATACTGTATATAGTTATGTGACCCACATTACAAACCTATTAGTTACTCCGTTGTCTTCTCCAGTTATTTCCATTCTAATGTAGCTTTGCAGACTGCTACAGTAGGATTACATTGTTTTGAACAAGGCTTTTTTTTTTTTTTTTTTTTTTTTTTTTTTGAGGGACATAGAAATCCAGATATGGTCAGATTATACTGTCACCTAAAGGAGGATTGGACACTGGCAAACAAAATAGGAAAAATTGTAGGTCAGCCCAGGATGAGCCCTCCTCCTACCAGCATGCCTCATTTTTTTGCTTTGTCCTGGGGGATGGACATCTTAGGCTAACATTTTTGCAAGCTTTTTCTTCAGTCAAGATTCTTCCACAGTATAGCTGAGCTAATCTGTATATGTGGCTATCCCAATCAGTCTTTCCTAAGTGCCACACCTGACCCCACTAGACTGGATCTCTGGAGCTAGCCTGGAATGGGACCTTTGGGCACTTGTCTTTGTATTGTGGCACTTTCCAGACCTGTACATACTTGTAAATGGTAGCCACTGATTGTATACCATACAGACCACGAACCTATAGCTACCTCAGTACTGTGACTGCTGAGCGTGTTTGAATTTCCTGCTTTCAGTCAGTTTTACACAGAAGGGGTTAACACCAAAGGAATGAGTGCCGACAATGTCTGCTGGGTCTAGTTTTATGGGCGTGCTATGTACTCTTTTCCACGGTTAAGCATTGAGGAAGCATATTCCAACTGCTGCTAATCGCAGGAGCCATATATAACTCCAATCATGGGTTAATTCCTACTGTCCACCTACAGTGACCAGGTCACCTTCAGCCATCTGACCCTGCTGTCCAAGCAACCAGGTCTGAGTATCTGGGGACCTGTTTTCATACTGTCAGATCGCCCTCCACCTTGTGGGGAAACACGCCTGATTCTCGACACAGGGACCAGTCCCGCTGTACCAAATGCGCCCAGCTCACACTCTTTAACAGTTTTGGTACTGCTTGAAGTGTACAGAAATCACCTATATACATCAATATGCAGCCTGCAGTGGACCTCAGCATTATTGGGTTAGTAGAACGTCTTCTCCCATCAGGTAAGAGAGATCCATCAACTGGGTAGATAAAAGTGCTCCTGCACCTGTCAGTTATATCCCATGGGCTTCATTTCTTCTGCTACACACGGCATAACTCCCTTATTTTTATCACTATCATTTTTATTAGCTCTATTACTTTTGTTTTATCAGTCCAGAATATTACTGGAAGGTAGGATTTTTTGCTCACTATGTACAGTATATACTGCTACATGAGGCTGAAATAATTCTGCCATATATATATTTTTATTCGAGTTTATTTTTACACATTTATCTGTTTAATCATTCTTTTTAGAATGTATTGATTTATTTTATATGTCTATTATATCCTTTATACGTTTTAAATGGGTCATTTCGCATAGTTACATAGTCAGACTGGTTGAAAAAAGATACAAGTCCATTTAGTTCAACCAAAAAAAAAAATATATATATATTTCCTATATACACAATCCAATACCCACAGTTGATCCAGATGAAGGCAAAAAAACCCAGCAAAGCATGATCCAATTTGCTCCTGCAGGGGAAAAAATTCCTTCCGGATTCCCCAAGAGGCAATCAGATACTCCCTGGATCAACTATACCTATAAATGTTAGTATCCAGTTATATTGTGTACATTTAGGATATAATCCGTGTCTTTTTAAAACCCATCTACTGAGCTGAATAAAATAAGAGCTTGTGAGCTGCTATGCCAAATACTCAGTGCCAAAATGTGATAAGTGAATTTTTCCTATGCAAATATTAGCAGATTGCTTGCACCATACACATACTCATACACATGTGCCAATAATAAAGAGTAACAAAACAGTACTGCGCTCCACTTAAAACTGATGAAGCCACGTAACACGGTGGCACAATGCCTAGGGGAGGAGCATTGACGTCATGATGCTCGACGGACAGTGAGAGGTATCAGCTGATTATACATGTCAGAACTGCTAGCGGCATTTGAAGCACTTGTTTTTTTGCAATAAGTGCATCTATACATTATACATGTGAGTGGAATATATCTTATTACAAATTAATGCTTTTTTTAAGGATAAAGCACTATGTTCTGGTTGGTTGTTTTTTTTTTTTTTTTTACATTTAAACTGACGGAGGAGGACAATTAGAGTGAAGGAAATCCAGACCTGTTGGATACAAATCCCATCTTTACATAACCAAATAAAGGGACACAAGCTCTATGTGAACCTTACTTAACAGTTGAGTCATATATATATATATATATATATATATATATATATATATATATATATATATATATATATATATATATAGGTTAGCGCACAACTGGTGGAGGCACACAATTGTTGGTTTGGTATTAAACACCAGAGGTGAACTGAGGAGCACTTGATTTGTCATACTACAGGGATTTCAGAGAATCACGGATGTAATTCGGACACTTGGATATATTTGTGTTGGAAGATTTTGGTATATATGTATATATATTTATAGTTTGTTGTAGATTTAAGTGGAGCGCGGCACAGTTTTGTTACTTTTTAATCTATTGAGCTGGCCAGAACTAGCTCTTGAGGGAGTCTATTCCACATTTTCACAGCTCTTAGGGCTAGTTCACATTAGATGCAGTTCAGTGCTCATTTTATCTGCAGCAAAAATGCATGCACAGTGTTTTCCATGTATTCCAATGGCCTTGGGTGCAGAAGAAAAAGTAGAACATGCTGCATTTTTTATGCACAGAACCATACTGGAACATGGCAAACTGCATCAAAACTGCACCGGAACTGTGTGTGATGTCAACTGTAAGCAAAAACGTATCCAGAATACATCCGGAGTGTATTTTTTGAAGTGCGATCTGGCCCTTACTGTGAAGAAGCCTTTCCATATTTGGAGATTAAATCTCTTCCTCCTGAAGTAAAGAGTGCCCCCTTGTCCTCTGTGATGACCTTAAAGTGAATAACTCTACACCGAGTTCACTATGTGGACCACTGATGTACGTATACATGTTGATCATATCCGCCCTTAATCTCTTTTCAAGAGAGAATAAATTCAGTTCTGCTAACCTTTCCTCATAGCTGATCTCCTCCATGCCTCTTATCAGTTTGATTGCCCTTCTCTGCACTTTCTCCAGTTCCCCGATATCATTTTTGTGAATTGGTCCCAAAACTGAACTGCATATTCCAGATGAGGTTATGCTAATGATTTGTCCAGGGGTAAAATTATATCTTTCTGAATCTATACCTCTCTTTCTGGCCTTGGGAACTGCAGCTTGGCATTGCATGCCATTTTTCAGCTTATGATCTAAAAGAACCCCCAGATACTTTTCCACCATGGACTCCCCCTAGTTGTACCCCCCTAGTATGTATGATGCATGCATATTCTTAGCCCCCGAGTGCAGAACCTTACATTTATCAACATTAAACCTCATTTGCCACATAGTTGCCCAATTAAACAGTGCATTGAGGTCGGCTTGTAAGTTGGAGACATCCTGTAAGGACGTTATTCCACTGCACAGCTTGGTGTCATCTGCAAAGACTGAAATAGTATTTTTAATCCCAGACCCTATATTGTTTATAAATATATTAAAAAGTAAGGGTCCCAACACTGAACCTTGGGGTACACCACTGACACCCCTAGACCATTCAGAGTATGAATCATTAACCACTACGCTCTGATACGATCTTTTAGCCAGTATTCTATCTATTTACAAACAGATTTTTTTAAGCCTGTAGAGTTTACCTCACACATTAGCCGTGTGTGGGGAATTGTGTCAAATGCTTCTGCAAAATCCAAGTATACCACATCCACCGCCACCCCTCTGTCCAAAGTTTTGCTCAACTTCTATCTTTTATGAATTTATGCTGTCCATTACTTAAAATATTTTTTTTTTTTAGCAAGAACTCATCTATGTGGTCTTTTATTAACCACTTGCCCTCCAGGGGATTTACCCCCCTTCCCAACAAGGCCATTTTTTGCGATACGGTGCT